CTGGATTATACTAGCCCCTTTAACCTTCTAAAACAATGGCTTTTGCGTTAGTGGTGTTAAGCCCTATTTACATCACCTAGGTTACTTGATTCCCAGTTCCATAGATTATTCTATGCCACATTGACGTAGATACCAAATGCGATATATTCTAAGGATTTTTCTTGAAAACACTTTACCTTTATATTTAACTTACCAATGACAGCATGCTGACTTAACCTAGGACTATCCTTATACCTGACATAAATACTACTGAATTACTTAACACAGCTGGCTGCTTCGTGTAAAGGCTATGATTAGCCCAGTTTGTTCTACTTGCACAATATTGTCAAATTAGTTTGGCGGCAATTTGTAATGACAAGAAGGAATTACCTGTGGACGAAATGGAGGCTTTGCTCTACCTATGACTCGTTTTAGAATTTCTTCCACTAGAATATCTTCGAGTCCAAATGGCTTTGTCTGGTAGAAGACTTCGTGCATTATTATGGCGAATGCACAGACATCCCCCAACTTGGTTCTGAATGAAGCAGCTGCCTCTTTGCGCAACAGTTAAGGGGAGGTCCGTAGTTTCTTCAGAGATCAGGAGTAATTGAAGAAGGTGCAGGATGTAACTCACCTTCAGTCTGGGTTGAAGGACAACTGCTTGTTAAGTTGTAGATTTAGGGAATGACGAAATCGGTGATATTCAAGACCCATCGGCAAGTGACAATGCATTGAGTGAGTTTTAGCCTTCGGTGCGCTTTAAGGCTTGTGCTGTGAAGGTATTCCATTCCCTTGTAATACTCAATTGAAGGCAGTTGCACAAATCAGAGGTGAGATGTTTGTTTAAATGACAGAAGATGATATGCACTAACCTGAACAACGTCGGTCATGAAGGGGAAGTTAGATGCAATACTCTGTTGTTGATAATAAGTAAGCCAACGAAAAGCTTTTGTGTCAAGTAGGTGAGTATAGGCACTCTCGACGAAGAATTCTTTTCCCTAAACAATGAGCATTCATAATGCTAAGCAGGAAAGAAATGTGAGTTCGATATGCAACATAGATGAAGGTGCATTGGAAATAATTTTATGAAGTGTTTGTTAAGCAGATCAAATCTGTAAAAGGAACGCGTCTGGTTTTCGAGCAGATAACAATTCTGATATAAATGCACCAACGTGTAGCTCTCACCAAGTTTGTTGTGCATCATTTGGATAAAATGTGTGTTTTAGTCCCTTATCAGCAAATGTGAAGGTGCATCGCCTTCAGTTATATTTTTGCATGCTCGATGATAAAGTAAACAGTTTGTAATTGTTTGTAATAACTAGAGAGAATGTTGCCGAGATCTGCCTATTCGATACAAAAGAAACCAACATTCCTGAGAAAATGCCAGGACAGTGATTGGTTGAAAACAAGGCCCCATTTTTAATTTTGAGCAATATAGCAAGGCGTTATCACCTCACACCGTGGCCGAATCTTGAGATAACTGTCTCGAAAAAAATTGAGAGCTTTTCCATGGATTCAACACCAGTCAAGACTTCCCTTATCCACGTTCTTTTAATATGGTCATGATTTTAATTATGACTTCGTAAATTACGCATTATTTGCTAATTCACATCACGTACAGCTGTAAAGTAACAACCTTTTCGTCAGAGACCATGAGACTGAATGAGTTGCTGCCTCGTGGTAGTTGTAACTCTTGGGTGATAACCACTCAGCAGAGACTCTTCGCACTGATCTTCCACGTTTATCAAATAAAAATAGTAAAAAAAATAAATAAAAAACGTAAGCCTAATAACCATTCTTCTTAAGTATGTTTGTGCAAACTATGACTGCTTGTTCCTGTATTCACTTAATTTAATACATAAGCTGTAGCCAGCATGCTAATACTGTTATTATTCTGCATTGACTTTGGAATGATCACCTTAGCGCACTGTCAATCGGCGATGAACTCACATGAACGTCGCTGAACTAATGAGCCCGCATGACCTGTGAATGTAATGTGTGTTAGTCAGTTGGAAGTTACACTGCCGTGTTACGAGATCAGGCCATTTTCTTCTCCTATGTCCACTAACCAATAAATAATTGTGATTCTAACAAATTATTTCAATTTGAGATAACACGATATCATTGTCCCTGATCTGCTTATTCTTAATAAAATTGGCACAACTTCGGTACTGCAAAAATCGCATTTGTTTAAGAAACCGCATGGGACACACATACCAAACAGCTATGTTGCGAAATTTCGTCTTTGCACTTCTTTTTAAATTTTTTTTCTACATCGGGCAAGTATTGACCAGATAGCATTACTCACTACATCTTGCAATCAAACAATCCTAAAGACATTAACAATCAGTGCTGAAATTCAAGTGACTTTGATGAAAGGCTTGGTTATGGTGAAGAGAGAAGGCAATTGTTCAGCACTGGTCTGGCCCATCGCCTGGCACGGTGGTGGAGTAAAGCCGAGGTGGCACCACCTCCACCACCATCGTGCCAGCAATGCGATCAACCAGGCGACCGGCCAAGTCACAAAAGAACCACGACAACCTGCAGACCACACCGTTGTTGTGGCTGCGCCTACTGACAACCCGAAGTCTAATCACGCTGACGGTCCAACGGACGACACATGTCGTCATCACGGTTGGGTAGCCAGGAGCAGATTTGACTGACGTCCTGGTGATGCTTACTATAGGAGTGATCCCTAGGAGTAATGTCTTAGAGCGCACGCAAGCCTCACATCCCGCCTACCACCAGCATCCATGTGTAGTAAGTCACTTGGACGAGTTGCCTACCCAACTTAGTAGAGTGAATAAAACTTTGCTCGAACTACTCTGAGTGGCTAATGGGAAAGCATCCTTATACTGACAATCTTTAGCTGTAAAATCGGCAGAATGCTTTTGTGAATCATTGAGGCCTATTTCCTTGTTATATGCTAAGAAGGGAATCACGACTTTGAGATGATCTGTCAAGGGGCAGGGACACATTCATTGGACACATGGATTCCGCATCACAAGTAGATGAGAACCTAACTGCTATAAGATAATGTAATTTTGGTGGGCTGTGCCGAATTGCGATACGGAGAACAGAACCATCTTGACCCTAACTACTCATTAAATCTATAGATTGTACCTGAATCATCCATTTTGCACTCCACTGACATCTGCCATAGGACAGAAATGGTGCCCACGACTTATCTCGAGCGGGAAAGGAATAAATCCAAATATTGAAGTCTCAACCTCCTGCTCTAGATAAGCCTCTGGCAACAAAATCGTGGATATTTCAAGGAGTTTGTCGTACGGCCTATTAATGAGTGGAACTATATCGTTTTGCTTGTTCCTTCTCGAAACTAGTCCTTTCAGCTACCCCATTTTATTCTTCTTAAACAACTTTGCTTGGTACGTCTTTGGGATGGTCTCCATCGAGGATTTTCCCATTGCTGGTTAAAGTCGCCAGTTGAGGCCTCAATCTCTATTGCTAACATGGTTGTTCGAAAAGTTTTGTCAATATTGCCGGCCATGTTTCCAATAATTTTGGTGCAAATGCTAAAATATGCCCACATATAATGCATAAACGCATTGATCTTAAAAATGCATATACTGTCCTAAAAACATTTCAAACCCTCAGCCAAGGTCATAGTAGCCGACAGGTTTGACGACAGCCGTGCATGTGATTTACTTATTGGAGACCTTTCTCATTACTTGAATGGAAAACTTCTAAATTCATGCTAAATTTTTATTTGCTATCAAACCCTTTTTCGGCTGCGAAATTGCCTTGGGA